CACCCACCCACCCACCCACCCCACACAAGCAAGCGTGCCGTGCTGCAGGCTACGACGCCCACTGGCGGGACCCGCTGGAGCACCTGCAGTTTCAGGCAGCCACCTACCACTGGCTCACCCGCGCCCTGCGCCAGCTGGCGGCGCAGCTGTGCGGCGGCCGCCTGCTGCTGCTGCTGGAGGGAGGGTGGGTGGCGGCCAGCGGCGCCGCGTGCTGCCGGCGCTGCTGCTGCGCCTGCGATGCTGCTGCTCCTGGCAGTCTTTTGGGGTGCAGTATTCGATCAACGGCAGCAAACGGAGCCAGCTGAATGCTCAATGCTGAATGCCTGCCTGCGGCGCAGGTACAACCAGCAGGCGCTGGCAGAGTGTGTGGCGGAGACGGTGCTGGCGCTGCTGGGGGAGCCCTCGGGTCGGTGTGAGGGGGGGCAGGTTGCAAGAGTGGCTGCCAGAGTGGCTGCCAGCTGCGGTCGGGGCCAATTCGCAAGAGTGGCAACCAGCATCAGCGGCCCCACCCCGGTGGCAGCCCTGCGGCACGGCAGCCCGGTCCGCCAGCATGCTGGGCATGAGTCGTATGCCACGCCGCCTGGCGCCGACCAGGGTGCTGCCCCTTGCCCCCTTGCCGCCGCGACGCGTGCAGAGAGCCCGCTGCTGGAGGCGGCGCAGCTTCCGCACCCGGAGCCGCTGGAGCAGGTGGCGGCTGGGCTGGAGCGGGTGCGGCGGCTGCACGGGCTGGCCTGACGGGCGCTGCGCTCGGCGCTTAGGAGGAGCCGCCGCGGTTGGCGCCCTGCGCTGTGTCTGGCGGCGCTGGAAAGCTCTGGAACGGTCTGGATTTCATCGCCCGATGTGGGGAGCCCCTTGGTTCAAAAGACGTGTGGAAAGGCGCATGCAAGGGCGGGCGGTGGCGGTGGAGCAGCCGCCGGCAGTACTGCAGGACAGCCAGATAATGCATGCGTCTAGCAGTCCGCACAAAGATCTATATATAGACAACCGCCTCCTCCTGCAGCTATCGCCGCTGTGCACAAGTGCACTTGCTACCACCGCACAGGCAGCCATGCAAGCGGCCCTGGGCAAGCACATTTCGCCCATTTCGCATGCAAATGCTATCGGCAGGCCCGCACGCCGCAGCGCTGTGGTGCCACAGCGGCGCCTCGCGGTAGCAGCCGCCTCGCAGCAGCAGGGCCCCTCCAGCAGCAGGAGCGAGCGCCAGTTACCGCAACGGCGGCCAGCAGGCCCCGCGACGCTGGCCCAGCTGGCGGCGCTCTGGGCGGCGGCGGCGCTGCCAGCGCAAGCGTCCGAGGCGCTGAGCGGCGGCCCCCCAGCCTCCTCTTACTATGTCTCCCTGGGCCTGTTCGTCATGACCGTGCCAGGTGGGCTTGCTGGAGCATGCCGCGCGGCAGCAGGCGGGCTGGGCGCGCCGCCGCGCCCGAGCTTCAGGACCGCCGCTTGTCGCCCGCTGCCTCACCGCCACAAGCTGCCCCGCCCCGCAGGCCTCTGGTCCCTCATCAAGCGCTCCCCAAAGGCCAAGATCAAGCGCAAGACGTTTGAGGTGGCCGGACCAGGCAACGTGCGTCCTTCTT